TTTGTTAGTGCAGAAGAATCTGCTGAAGCAACAGGATCAGTGAAGCAGTGAAGAGTTCGTGTGCTACACATAAGCTGGAAGGAATAATCAGCAAACTAAGGAGAAAAGTCTTCTTGTGACTAGGCACGCCAGGTGGCACCTCGAGTTGGGAACCGCACTACCAGGAAGCGTACGCGGGAAGTCAGGTTCGGGAAACAAGGAGGCCTGACACAAGTGCACAAAGTCAAGGTGCAAGTGGGATTACTTACTGTTGATCAAAGGTTAATGGGACTGATGGTCTGACATCAACATGAACAGTTCTGTTGCCCTTTCGAATTAAGGGGGAGCTATTTTTAGGGCTATAGAAGTTGCTGGTTGCTACCACTATAAAAGGAGGGGGGATAGTTCATATGCCGACCAATTCTTTTGAAATAGGTCTTTGAAGAACTCAAAAACAGTGAGAGCCATTTGATCTGTTGTGTTGAGTGAAAGAGATAGGTTTCGTAATTGTTGTTACGTTACATTGGGTAGATTAGGAACACGTTCAGGAGCGAATCACGATGTGTGTGATGTCGCGTAAGTCTGGGTAGAATAGGTTGTAGGATCTGTTCTATAGAAGTGTTTGAGTAATCTATCTGTTGCAACAGCTGTGTCGTGTATCAGCCGTTGTGCCTTGCGGGGAAAACAATAAAGGCTGTGAGTTTTTATTGGAAACTCTCTGTCTCTTGTTCATATCTCTGTTCAATATCTTGTGCAAAGGTTCCTGCTTTTTCAACTTGGACATGAAGTAGTGACGTTCTGGGTGTCTCTTAATGGTATGTAACATCTCTAATTTGTCAAACCCAAATAAATATATGAGATATACCCGTTGGACCAGATTTGACGTAATTGATTCCAAATAAGGAAAGTTGAGGTGTGAAGAGATCCATTTGATCTCATGTTTGATGGTGCATCTTAAGATACTACTAGGGGCCTTTAGATCATATGAAAAGTCTCCGGGATGCCAAAGGTAAGTCTCCAATGATCCAAATAAGGAAATGTCCGAAATTGGACAGTTTTGGATCACTCGGTTTGTAATCTTGGTTATGGTTTGATCTGAACCGTTATGGGTTTATTCCTTGTTCACCGTGGATCCTTGATGGCTCAACAATATGGAGCAAGTCATTTTTGGGATTAAATTATCATGGTTAGGTCATAATCCTGCAAGAGAGGCCAATATGTCCTTATCGGGCCATTGTAACGATTGCATGATCTTGGGATTTTCTAAACTCGTAATCTTTGGGTCAGCACTCGTATGGACTCTTGAGAGGCTGGTAAGGACTTGCCAAGATGCCTTGGAGCGTGGTTGATTCATCATGGATTTGAGGTCCTTATCACTTGCACAGATGGAGGCACGGCTGGATGGAGTTTTTGGAACTATGATTGAGCCTAGCTCAATTATAGTATTCTTATCTGTTCAGGCCCATGAGAAGAGGTACAATATCATCAAGATTAGCATAGAACTCATAGATCATTGCCCGAACATACTTGGAGTGAATTGAGACTTGACATAGCTTCGGGTGAGCTGAATTCTCATAATCGAAACGGTGTATCTTCCTCAAGCTCATCACTGCATGATTCAACTTCACGTTTAGACCCGTCTTTGTCTAATTTAGCTCTAGATTCTGACCCTTTTC